GGAATCTGACTGAGCCTTAGAACTGCTCACCACGGGCCCTTACTGATACCTTGCTCCCTGCATTCGCTTCCTAAGCTCTGATGTGGAGGTGAGACTACCTCATAGGTCGGTGGTGATGATGAAAACAGATACAGATGGTAAAACACAGCACATGGTGTTTAGTGCTTCCCAGGGGCTTGTATGGATCTGCTTCCTTGCAGGGAGCATGCTGACCTCATCATTCCTCATCCCAGCCCCTGCAGCTGCCAAAAATAAGGACAATTATCTACTTAATGCATTACAAAAAAGTTAGTTCAAGTTTTTAAAGTCAGGTATATTTCAAGCCATAATATTTGTAAAAGTCCAGGTTGAATGTATTAATTTTTTTTCTAGCACATGCTAAAAAATAGACACACTAAAAATATGTTTTTAAAGGCTGGCACAGTCTGAAACCTTCTGAAGGAGCGTGCACATTCGTCCCACAGTCCTGCTCTCACCAAGAACTTAGGCAGCACTGCTCACATGAGAGGAAGCATGTCAGGCAGCACAGATGAGGACACGCATACCTTCCCTGTTCTGGTTGTGCATACAGCGTCTGGGGGGCGGGATGTGAGAATGATGGTGCTGTGTGGACGGGGCAGGCCGTCTTGTGGTGATGTGGCCCTGTCATGCTGCTGGGCAGGCCGGCCCTCAGGAGACAGTACAAAGTAGAGAGAAGAACCAAGCGTTGCTCCGAACGATTATTCCAGATTCGAGGTCCAGGACAACTTGGCTCCGCAAGCAGACCTACCTCTCTGAGACCCCAAGTTTCTTACCGGAGTCTTCCGAGCATGATTTCTCATCTGTGAAATGGGCACAGTACCTGCCTCAGGGAGCAAGTCCAGGCCAGTGCCCAGTGAATGGGCATCTTCCCCAGATGACCGGTGTGCACCCAGGACAGAAGCTGCCCTGTGCTCCAGGCTTGCGGCTCATGCATTTGTCCTCTGTGCTGCTGGCGCTCCCTAAGGTAGATCTCAGTCTTGGCCTCTCTGGGAAGCAGCCCTGGAGCCCTAAAGCAGCCTAACATTGGCTGATATGCACTGAGGGCTTTCCAGTTTCAATACCAACTCCAGAAGCCCTTCCAGCACTTCTCACCCAGTGTTCTCTGGCATCAGACGGAGCCTGTAAAAATCCCGCCATACACATGATTAAAGTGAGGCACGGGAAGGTGTAAGTAATTTACTCAGGTCGCGTAGGTGGTAAATGGAGGAGCAGGTAACCACTAAAATTTGTAGTCTCTAAGACTGCCAAGCTACTAGTTGAGATAGCATTAGAACTAATGCCCACAGGAGGACAGGACCATGTCCAGCTAAGGGACCCTCAGCTGGGAGCCATGATTTTGTCCCCAGGGGATATCTGGCAACGTTTGGTGATGCTCTTGGTTGTCACAGCTGTGGGGGTGGGTGCACTGTGGGTGCGAATGCATATTGGTGCAACCACTATGTAAAACAACATGGAGGGTCCTCAGAAGTTTCAAAATAGAGCTACCAAACAATCCAGCAATTCCACCTCTGGGTATTTATCCAAACAAAATGAAAACATTAACTTGAAAACATATCTGTGCCCCAAGTTCACTGCAGCATTAAGCCAATATATAAAATTAAGTATCCACTGATTGATGAGTGGATTTTAAAATGTGGCACATATATACAACAGAATATTTTTCAGTCATGAAAATTTAAATCTTGCCATTTGTGACATGGAAGTTGAGGGCATCATGCTTAGTGAAATAAGTCAGACAGAAAAACGCAAATACCATTAAGATCTCACTGATATGTGCAATTTGGGGGGGAAAAAAATTGAGATACAGAGAACACACTGGTGGTTGCCAGAGAGGCAGAGGGTGGGAGTGGATGAAATGGGTGAAAAGGGTCAAAATGTATAAATTTCCAGTTTATAAAATAAGTCCTGGGGATCTAATGTATAGCATGGCGATGATAGATAATAATACCATTTTGCATGTTTGAAAGTTGCTAAGAGTAGGTTTTAAAAGTTTTTACCGTAAGAAAAAAATTCTGTTAACTGTGATGATGGATATTACCTAAACTTATCATGGTGGCCCTTTCACAATACATTCAAATATTGCATCATTATGTTGTACGCCTGAAACTAGTATAGTGCTATGTAACAATTATACCTCAGTGAAAAAGCTCCAAGCGAGATGCGGTGGCTGGGTAGACAGGAAGTGACAGGAAGCAGGACACCTGGAGGAGGAAAAAGACGGTGGCAGCCCGTTACTGTGAGGAGGAAGGGAGGGCAGAAGCAAGCATGTGTGGAGCCAAGGCTGTGCCACACCCCGTTAGAAGCCAAGCTCTGAGAGAAGCCGCGCCGCAGGAGAAGGCGCGCCAAAGCCGCGCCCCAGCAGAAGCCCGCGGGAGACAATGGACATGGCACTGTTCAGAGATGCGGAGCAACACCGTGCCGGCCCAGAGATGAGGAGCAAGCCAGCACCAGCACCTGCCACAGGTCACAGTACGAAGTGACTGATTTTTAGAAACAGGGACCTGCCACAGTCAGGTGAAGACGACAGGGAATGTGGAAAAGCTGGAGAGGACCTGTCTTGTGGATTTTTCTGCAGACTACAAAATGACCAAATGAGGCTTGCAGGCTCCTATGAACAGGAACAGGAGGCAGGAAGCTGACCTGAGTATTTTTGCTTTATTCAATCGAATAAACATTTTATTTATATAAAAGACAATGCATAGAATGAACATAAGTGCTTGACACATTTGATATAAAAAGAGTATACAGCATTCACATTCCTATTTTAATACATGAGTATTGCTGAAATGTTCCATAAAAGAATAAAACTTTCCCTTTACGTAGTGAAAAAAGTCAGTATTTTTAGGAACTACAGAATGTTATTCCTTGGTCTTTTTCTTGAATAAGGAAAAACAAACATAAAACAAGCCACAGTATCATCTACATTCCAGTTTATGCTGATGATGACCCAGAAGTGATAAAGCTCTTTTGAATCTTGGAAGTTCCCATAATGGACCAGTATTCTAGAAATTCACCACTAGAGGTCAATGAGCAACAGCTCTTGGGACAGCATCACCAGCCCTAAAGTGCACGGGACTTCTGGGCACTCCCATGGCATTGTGGCCAAGCTACCTTCTCTCGGTCCACCTGAACCGCGAAGGGCTCCTAAAAATTCCACCTAATCCCAACTTCAGCGTGTCTGCTAAAACCCCAATGAGATGCGGCTTCCAAAACCCAAGCAGAGCTGATCTGATCATTGCCAGTCCCTCTCCAATATTCCTACCTATTTGGCCGAAAATAAGCTTCAAATCATTTTTACAAAAGAGCTTGTTATTTGCAGCATTAATACCTGTTTGTGGATTACCAAGTTTCCTATGGAGGATTAAAGCTCATTCTTTGTTCTTACCCACATGGACACAGATTTCCTCACTGTAGATGGGACTCCTGTGTCCAACATTCAAATTCTGCAAACACTGGGAAGGTGGGTATGACTAAGAGACTGGTAACCATGACAACTTCTTGGAGTAAAGGTCTCCCCCTTTGAATGCAGAGGGGAGCACTCTTAATATACAAGCAGAAGAGATCTGGGTTAACGGGCACCATCCAGAGGCAGTCCCTGTCACTCCAAAAAAAAGGCCAACTTCAAATTTCAACCCCAGGAAGGGGTTGAAACCACACCCTATAGCCAGAGAATGATTGCGTGAATGCACATTTCTTGCAGGGGACCTTGGCTGGGGAAAGAAGGTTTAATTCCCAAACTAGGGTGGGAACAGGGGGAAACACGAACGAATGTTCACAGGGGAAGAGAGCAGCTTTCTAAGTGTGTCTACACCATCTGTGAATGACGTGGGACAGCGACAACGGTAAGCCATCTGCGACCTAGTCTCACTCAGGGATCCAAAATTTTTTTGCAAAATCTCCCGATATTTAAAAAGTGGCTCAATTTTGTTAAACACTGTGCTGGCCAAGCAAAACACACGTTCCGAGTGCCTGGAGAGACAGTCCTGACCATGGCAGCCCTATGCTGCGGCAATACCAGCCACGTGGGCAGAACGTGCTCAAGTCCCCTGGAGCCTGGAGCATGAGACCTACCAGTGATGCACAGCAAGCGGAAGACAGAAACCAAGTGTGATGAGAAACTGAACATAAAGAACCTGGGAGGGAGATCTGTTCCCTTTTAGGAAATGGGGAGCAGTAACACAGGTATGGGGGGAATTTTTTTAAAAAGAACAATTTCTCATTAGTACAAGGTGTGGCAATTTCATGGGTAGGGAAAACGTCCTGATTTTTCTGTAGCTTATAGAGGTAAAAGATGGGACTTAAAACATTGACGCGATGAGACTTTCTGAGCTAGCTGAGGAAGGAGGGTCACAAACCAGATGTGGGTGTGAAGCTCAGTGCCGAGTCCAGGAGAGATGACAGGACGTGCGGACCTCGGAGTCTGGTCCCCAGACAGTGCGGCTCCGACTGGCTCCACAGCCAGAACAGGACCCAGTGCAGGGAGTTACTAGGTTGCGAAAGCAAGTGCAACGTGGCACAGCAGGCTCCAGGACCCGAGCCTCTCTCTGAAGGCGGAGGCCCCCCACCCCGTGTGCCGCCAAGTGCTGAGGCTACCCCAGGGCGCTTCCCTCTGCTCTCGCGAGCTCGCCCATCCAGCCCACTTCTGGGCACGTGTGATCTCTATGCTCACCTCTTTGCACGAGTATGGCTGTGTATACATAGACATATATAGACATATATAAACATAGCTATTTCCTATTTACATACAGGCGTTAATAAAGTGCAAGTGTTATTGCTGTTTAAGATCAATCTCCTTTCCTGAGGAACTGCTAACGCAGCTTACCTATGACAACGTCAACGGCAGAGGCTGCTTCCTGCCGCCCCCTCCCAGCTCGGGGGAGGGAGCACCCCGGGTTCCAGGAAGCGTCGGCAGGGGCAGCTTCCTGCTGCCCCTGCTCTTTGGCCACAGGGCGGCCGCGCGGGGCCAGCCGCGGGAAGAGCTATTTGGTAGTGTTGAGGGAGCCATCTTCAGGGATCTTCTCCTCTGAGCTGCTCCTCCCCGAGAGCCTGTCCAGGTGCTCCAGCTCGCTGAAGCGCTCCGCCACGCACTGCGCCGTGAGCCGGGCCTCGGGGTCGTGGTCCCAGCACTCGGCCAGCGTCTCGCACACCGTCTGGATGCCCTGCAAGGGGAGAGGGTCCACAGGCCCCTGAGAGGGGGTGGCAGCTCGGGGGAGAGGGAGCCCCCGCCCTGTCCCCCCCCGCTGGCCAGCGCCCCGGCGCCATCTGACCGAGGCATTCCGGGGGCTCCCGCTCACAGGAAGCGGGGAAGCGGAGGCGCAGCACAAGGTCTCCCAGCAGGCTTCCGGGGGACAGCAGTCTGCCCATTTGTGAAAATTCCCAAGAAGTGGCTTCTGCTGCCATTTCCCACCTCTCTATTCTGGGGAGTGGGGGCGCAGTAACAGGCTTTACCTCATTGAGGGAAGTTGTAGGTTCATGGCAAAATCGAATGGAAATTACAGAATTTCCATACACATACCCCCTCCCCCCACGCGGACCGCCTCCCCCACCATCAACACCCTACATCTGTGTGAGGCATTTGTTAAAACCAGTAAACCAACACTAACACATCAGTACTGACCACAGTCAACCAGAGCGAGGTTCATGGTGAGGCGCAGGATCCCGGTTCTGACAAACGTCCATCATTACAGCCCCCACAAGGGCACTGCCCTGAACATCCTCTGTGTGAACCTCTTCAGCCCACCTTCCTTCCCCCAGTCCCCAGTAACCACCGGCCTCTTAACTGTCTCAATGGTATTGTCTTTTCCAGAGAGTCAGGGCTGGAATTATGTGTATGTTAGTCACTCAGTCCCACTCTTTGCGACCCCATGGACTGTAGCCCGCCAGGCTCCTCTGTCCTGGGGGATTCTCCATGCAAGAATACTGGAGTGGGTTGCCATTCCCTTCTCCAGGGGATCTTCCAGGGATCGAACCTGGGGCTCCTGCACTGTAGGCGGATTCTTTACCATCTGAGCCACCAGCATCCCTGTTTAAATAGGGCTGACTATCCCAGCTGGAGTGATGTGTGGGCATTAGTCTGGTTGCATTTGTCAAGTCCACACGCTTTATGAGGATCCAAGCCCGTCTTCCAGCAGTTTCAAGGACACCCTCTGCTAGGCCCTTCCTCTCCAGCTTCAGCTTGGACCCTAGAAAACAGCTGTCTTCATATGTCCTGCAGGCTGTATCAGGGGGCTTGACCTAACCCCCTAAAGGCCCCACTCAAAAAGGCCCATCCAGAAAATGCTGTCCACAACAGACAAGGGTCTTCTCTCACGGCTTTAATTCTCATTTTGCATTGCAAATATTTTTGTTAGTTCAAGTTGTTTTTGGAAATAAAGCAGACACGGACTAAATACGTAGCCCAATGGGTGGAAACAGGCTGTGCCTCTCGGAGGCCCAACCCTGTCACTGGTGAGCCTGCACACGGGTGGCCCCGGGGGATGGATCCATCCCAGCCCTTCCCTGAGCGGCACTTCCCTGTCTGTAGTCTGAGCAATTGCACCCAGAGCCAGGACCTGCCCTCCCTTCCTGCCCCGTGAGTGAGCCCATGATGTTGGATTAATTGTATAATTCCCCTAATTGATGGTATTGACTGATGGCCCTGTTAAGAGTGGAGTGTTATTGTTGGTACACAAGTAACATTTATTTTATTCTGGCACTGTAATTACAGGCAGTAAATTAAATTAAATATTAAGCATTAACTTGAAATCAATAGGGCAACAAATCTCATTAAGAGAAAAAAATGTATTATGCAAATGCTTTCCAGAGTTTCATCATCATGAACAGTGGCTTCATTATAAGCCCTATACAGCAGAGGCAGCAGAGCTGAAGGAAGCAATATCGCACCTTCTCATTTGGAGTTAACGCGAAACAGCTCTGCGTTTCCAAAGTCAAAGAGGCTCTGCTGAAACCCGGGGAGAAACCCTGGGCCCCCGCGGCTGGGTCCGCAGCCTGCTGCAGGCTCCCCCCGATGTCATCAGGGCCTGCCCACTGAAGCGGCTCTCAGCCCGGCGGGCACACACCAGGCTTCCTGCTCCATCCATCTCCTTGGCCACCCCTGACCTGTGGTTTCTGCTTCTCATCTGCCTTAGGAAACCTAGAACTTAGCCCAGCCCTCCCTGGGTGAGGGAACTCATCCAAACGCAGCCATAAAAGGTTTACGTCAGTGGAAAAGACAGGGTGCTGGGGAGCTAGGAGCACGGGGTGTGGTCCAGGGCTCCTCCCTGCTGTGCCAGACGTCCCTGCTCCCGCAGCCCACGCTTCCCCCCCGACCCCCCGACCACTGCCCCATCAAAATGCCCCCGAAGCAAAGACTGCTGCGGACGGACGGCCACATCCACTGCCTGTCAGGAGGCTCTGGAAAGACAGATTCCTGTTTGTTCTCCTGCCCTCTGCTCGTCTTTGCCTTTCTTCATCCTGGCCTCCTCCTCCCCGACAGGCCTGCTGCTGCAGCCTGAGGACACAGCAACCCCTCGCAGGCCAGCTGGCGGACAACACCCCTCCTTTCTCACTAAGTAGTTCCTGCCAATGTTGAAGGTTCCCAGAAGAAAACATTTGGAACCCGGAAGAGAACAAAACACAACCTCCCTATGGAAAGGAGGAGTGGCAGAGGCTGTAAACAGTATTTTCGTTCAGAACCAAGGGGGCTTGGAAAATATGACAGGTGCCCGTCACATGAGTCTGTGTGAGCCTTCTCACTCGTGGTGGGACAGACAGTAACAAGGTCATCCCATTCTACTGAAACTCCTTTATGAAAGAACCAGGCAGGACCCCGGAACACATCAGACTGATGCCCAACGGCCGGGACTTCTCTGCTGCCTGAGATGTCCCTCTCCCTCTGGGTGAATACAACAGTCACTCCTTACCTGGTGGTTGAGCCAGGAGCTGGGAATCTCTGGTCGGCCTCGATCTCTCAGCACATTGTCCTTCATGCTTTCCACACAGGGATGTTCCCGCACCTTAGACCCGAATGGAGGCTCATAGTCCTTCACTTCTGTTGGAGAGAGCAGGCGGACACAGGCCTTGAGAAGGGCATGTGCAGTTGGGATTCTGACTGTCAGGATTCGCCTGTGATTACGCTGGGGTGGTTTTTAATTCTAATGGATTAAAAGTATAAGGAGGGGTCACAGAAGGACCTTGAACTAGTCAACACGTGACTGTTCAGTGACCATGACGTGCTAATGGCTGGAGACAGATTGGAGAACAAGATCAGCAAGGTCAGGGGATACAGGCTTTTAGGATCGTGGTTCCTGGGAGGGAGAAACATCTTCCATATTACAAAGGTTTGTGGCCCTACAGAGGTTCACACATAAATAGATTTAATATGTGGTATTAAGTTTCTTGCAGAGATTCAGCCATACAAAAAAGGAATGAAACTGATAGATGCTGCAACACAGATTATGCCAAATGAAATAAGTCAGACACTAAATGACAAATATTGTATGATTCTCCTTATGTAAAATACCTAGAATAGGCTACTTCACAGAGACAGAGAGGAGAATATGGGTTGCTGGAGGATGGAGAGACTGTTCACTAGTACAGGGTCTCCGTTGAGGAAGATGGAAAAGCTCTGGAAATAGACAATGGTGATGATTACACAACATTGTGAACATGCTTCATGCTGCCCAACTACACCGCTGACTTTTTTAAAATCGTAAACACTTAAAAATGGCTAAACTGGTGAATTTTATATCATGTATATTTTCCCACTGGAATAAAAAGTCGTGGGGAGTAGTGATTAAGAAAAAAAAGAGTCTACAAAGGTTCCTTTCAATAGTAATAATGAAAAAGAGGTTCAGAAATGCTGTTTTAGTTAGCTGACAGAGGAGAGAGATTAATAACAAACACAATTTAAAAATGTAATTTTCCTTCAGTGATACTTGCTAAAAAGAAAATCATGAAGGATGATGTAAACCCTTCATCAGAGTTTCAGGTTTCAACTAAGTCCATTTCTTTTCATTTTTTAAGGGAAATTCATGTCACTTATTTTCTCCTAATTTTTTCCTATTGAAGTATACTTGCTCAGTCATGGCCATCTCTTTGTGACCCCCTGGACTGGAGCCTGCCAGGCTTCTCTGTCCATGGGATTTTCCAGGCAAGAATACTGGAGTGGTTTGCCATTTCCTACTCCACAGTATTCGAAACCCTGGGATCAAACCTGCATCTTTTAGATCTCCTGAATTGGCAGGCGGATTCTTTACCACTAGCACCACCTGCGAAGCCCCTTACTGTATTATATCAGTTTCAGGTATACAACATAGTAACTCAGTATTTTTAAAGATTGTGCTCTGTATAAAGTTGTAAAACACGAGCTATATTTTCTATGCTATACATTATATCCTTGTAACTTACCTATTTCATAGCTAGTAGTTTGTATCTCTTAATCACCCTCACCCATTTTCCTCTCCCCTTACCCATCACCGTGCTGGCAATGAATGACAGTTTATCTGTCTCTATTTCATTTTGTAGATTCCATATTTAAGTGAAATCAAGCAGTGTTTGTCTTTCTCTGTCTGCCTAATTTCACTAAGCTTAATATCCTCCAGCTCCATCCATGTCATTGCAAATGGCAAAATTTCATTCTCTTTTATGGCTAATATTTCATTATGTTGTGTATACACACACATACTTCATTTTTGCCTGTCGTATGAAAAGTGTTCTCATTTCGTTCTTTGGTGTGTAGCTGCCCAGCTTTCCCAGCACCGCTTATTGACAAGAATGCCTTTTCTCCATTGTATATTCTTGCCTCCTTGTTGTAGGTTACTTGACCACAAGTGTGTGGGGTTATTTCTGGGCCCTCTATTCTGTTCCATTGACCTACATGTCTGTTTTTGTGTCTGTACCACACCATTTTGATTACTGCTGCTTTGTAGTACAGTCTGAAGTCAGGGAGCATGATTCTTCCAGTTTTGTCCTTTTTCTCTCAAGATTAATTTGGCTATTTGGGGTCTTTGGTGGTTCCATACACACTTTAGGATTATCTTCTTCTAGTTCTGTGAAAAATGTCATGGGTATTTTGATAGGGATTACATTAAATCTGCACACTGCTTTGAATATTATTAACATTTTAACAATATTAATCTTTTATTCCATGAACATGGGATATCTTTCCATTTACCCTTCTTCAATGTCTTACAGTATTTAGAGAACAGATAGTCTTCTACCCTTGGTTAAATTTATCCCTAGGTATTTTATTCTTATTTGATTGCAAATCAGATTGTTTTCTTAATTTCTCTAATAGTTCATCATTAGTGTTTAGAAATGCAACAGATTTCTATATATTAATCCTGTATCCTGCAACTTAACTGAATTCATTCATAAGTTTCCATTAGATTTTTGGTGGTGTCTGTAGGGTTTTTTACATATAATATCATATCATCTGCAAATGGTGACAGTTTCTTCTCTACTTACTTGGATGCCTCTTTTTTTCTTGTTTAACTGCTGTACCTAAAACTTCCAATAATATGTTAAAGAGGTGGCAACCATAGGCATACTTGTCATGTTCTTAATTTTAGATAAAAACCTTTCAGCTTTTCACAACTGAGCATAATGTTAGCTGTAGATTTATTGTAAATGGTCTTTATTATGTTGAATTACGTTCCCTCTGTATCATCTTTGTTGAGAGTTTTTATCACAAGTGAATGAATCTTAGGTCCTATCCAAAGTGGCCCGGGCATGAACTCTAGGTGAAGATTAGAAAGGCTGTTAATTTAAGTGGGTGGGACAATACCCACGTCAGTGAGTCACAGGACAATTGAGAAAATAAAAACAGTACAGTACTGAAACATGTCTGGGCCCAAAGGGAAGAGTGGGCATGATTCAGTATCTTCCTCCAAAGTAAATACCACCTTTGGCCTTTACTTCAAAATAACCCTGTTTAATGAGTGAAACTTTCAATAAATTACGCTTACAGGCTTAGAATTGAAGAAGCATTTAAGGCAAAATGACATTTTGAAAAGACATGGCTTGTTCTTGTTTATTTGACTTTCCCCCGTTCCCAGAACCCTACTTGCATATTTATCTTCTTCAGCCTCAACCAACTAGAAGTGCTGGCAGGATATTGTTTTTTTCTTAGTTGGGATGAAGGCTTCTCTTACTCTCCTCATACCCCCCATCACTTTGAGACAAGCATCCTACTGTGTGTCTGCTTCTGCTTTCAAGAGCCCTCAGCCCCTAAATCTATACTGCTCTGGAGGTGAGATCTGAACTTTGATTTGGATAATACTTAGTTGTCTTATTCCTTTCTTCCATTCTCTTACCTTTTTACCAGACTGTAAATTCCTAAGGACTAAGACACAGACTGAGTTTTGTATTTTAATTCCCTCCTGAAATTATGTCTTATACAAAGGTGTCTTTCAATAAATATGAGCTGGCTTGGATTCAAGCAAGAACTGAGAATCAGAGTTTGTCCTCGGTAAGGGTTTCCTCTGACCTAAGTCTTCACTTCTCTAAACTGAATGGGCTTCTGAAGTGGGTGACCTCTAAGTCCCTGCTCCAGAGCTGTCCTGTAACCCAATCCAGTCAACTACTGATGCTCTCTTAGTGCCGCACCTTGAGGCATGCATAATATAATGCAATGTGATAGGATCTGCATGTGATATAAGCCGCTCCTTAGACAATGTATTAGTCCACCGACTCTCCCTTTCCAGCCGTTTGGGCTGCCATAGCAGCTGTGGCTGGCAGCCTGCCTAGACCCCCCTTACTGAGCCATAGGCACTAGCCCCCCAGCTGCTGCAGGCATTGGGTCATAAGGGCACACGCTGTCTCCTTCTATGGAGAACTGCCCTTGGCAAATAGGAGCTTCCTGGCCTGGAGACTTCTAGAATATGACAGCCTCAGCCCTAGGGGCAGTCTGAGGCCAATGACAACATGGGAACCTGAACAGTCTAAGTGTCTTGCCTCTGGAGGATATGACTATGGTGCAGCTCATGTCTGGATCAGGCTCAGTCCTGGGATCAGGCTGGTGGCAGTGCAGGTGGGGAAAAATGAGGCTGTGGCATTTTCCTCTTTGTGTCCTTGATTAAATAATGTGAAGAACAGCAGAGAAAGCAAGTCAAAGGTTAGGTCATAGAGTGCCATCTTTTAAAAATCTGGGGACTTCCCTGGCAGTCCAGTGATTAGGACTCTGTGCTTCCACTGCAGGGGCCACAAGTTTGATCCCTGGTCGGGGAACTAAGATTCCACATGCTGTGTGCACTGTGGCAAAAACAAAAAAAGGAAATACTTCTATGAAAAGAGAAGCAAGGAGCTTAGAGAGCAAGTTTAGCACTTAAAACAGAAGTGCTGACAACATGCATCGTAAGTAGGGATATTGTTGGTTGTGCCTGCCTGGATCCCATCACAAACCAGAGATGAGGCCTTGGGAAAGAGAGGGCAACACTTCGTGCCCCAGTGTCCATATCCACAGCACAGGAGAGAACGTGCGTAACGCCGCCGTCACTCAGCACAGAGCTCCCTCGGGACCCGCAGGGGCTGGTCCCAGGACCAGAGGCAGGTCCCAACACGTGCGGACGCCAGTCTCCCGCTTGATCCTCTGTGCACGTGAGCTTTGCATCCACGAGTCAAGCAGCCGTGGATCATAGACTCAATGCAAGATCCGCGAGTGGTGAGAGCCAGGAATTCAGAACCGCAAGTGCCGGTGGAAGGCACACTAACTGTCACCTGACAGCAGACGGAAGATAAACCCCGAGTCAGGGGTGTGATGTGGAGCTGGGTGTGGGCTCTGCGCCAGGGTCCCCGGCCCCCAGCAGGATCACGCTTCAGATGTCCCCCAGGTGACCGCCTGGGGGCACGGAGCTCACCAGCTCCCTCCGCATCCTGTCTCACCTCCTGCTTCTTCTCTCCTAGGCCTTTGCTGCCTTCTCTTCCCTACGGACCGCTGAAGTTGGATTCCTCTTCAAGGGTTTGGTCCGTCCCCAGGCTGACACCCCACTCCCTACAGCAGGATCACCTGCTGAGACCAGCCCCCCACGCCCCAGGGCTAGGTGCACCAGG